CCTGAAGTTTGTTCCCCTGTTTTCGAATCTAAGCTTTACGCTTCTTCTGGAGCTGATTTCTTTAACCTAACAATGGTAAGGTGTATTGAATGAGGGCCATTCTAATCCTACGCTTATTTTTTTTTATTTAGTGTTCTGTCTGACGACAGGTCCATATGAACAGGATCCTTCCATCCTTTTCTCAGACTGGGACCTGTTCATATACGTTCTTGGCAGATGATCCAGAAGTGGTTTGCCATTGCCTTCTTCTGTGTGTGAATGGAGTAATTGTTGGGATGCCACGGAGGAAAACTCCGTGTTGCCTAGACCACGGCCTTGCCCAACACAAGTTATAAATTCGGGCACCGCCGGGAATCGAACCCGAGACCCCCAGGATTACAAGGCCAGCGTTCTAACCGCTAGACCACCTCGGCACAATCCTACGCTTAGGTGAAGTAATTTTCATTCAGCAAAGTTCAGTTATTTTGGTTTCGAAAGTAACAAATCAAAATTACTGACATTCGCGAAGAAGTTAAAGGCGTACTACACCCCGGGAATTCTTGAAACTACTCGGTTAAAATCTTTTTCCTTCCCTTCGCGTAACTGAGAACCGCTTATTAACGTATCTACACAAAACTAAAACTATGAACGTCCTTTGTATTGTGTGGTATCTTACCCTGAAGGAAAAACGCTAATGGGGGTGTGTATTGAGAAAACGTTTCTGGCAAGAATATTTGGACTTAAGAGAAGGTGAAAGTTATTAGCGTAATCTATACTGGGCGTGTAGCATAGGAGGAAATTATACAAAAAACATTACTCGAAAAATCTGAAACCAATAGACCATTTGACATACACTTCCGTCCAAATAATGATTAAATAATTAATCATCATCATCAAATATCCTGCGTAAGTTAATATAAATTCATTGAGGTACATTTGACTATGCCTGTGGTCCAACAGGCAGTAGTGATGAAGGTGACTGTCTTCCGGGTTGTTGCACCGTGTAGTCTGGTAGAAGTTTACCGACGGTTCAGAGCTCCTTGCTCGCCACCATCATCAGGGTAGTTATTCAATCTTGATCGTGGTAGACAGCGTCTTTCTGGCTGAGATACGCTTGTCGTTTCTATCCCTGATTCAGCCTCCCCTCGTGCTCAACTAGAATTTTTCCTTCCTACAGTGAGAAAACAGCTCCACTTCAACCCTCATCCCCCAACCCGAAAAACAACTTCACCACAACGTCGCAGCCTTCAGTCACCGCCGTTAGGGTTTTTATTACTCATGACGCAAACATCGCCTTTCGTTGGCATATTTCATGAAAATATCGCTCAGAAATTATAATTATAATAATAAATATAATAACAGTGATAAATTTGTGGAAATGATCACATGATACGTGAGGAATCCATCAAAATCTTTGCAGGAAAAACATGTTAAATTATAAGATAGTCATGTCTTAAAAGATCTAGGTACTCTACCTACAATTATCTTTTTAAAGTGTAGTTTACATATTTTAGAAATCAATAAAATATTTTGATAATTGCCTTTCCTAAAATAATAATTATTTCTAATCTTCCAGGTTGATGTCAGTATTATACGTTCACTGTTAAATGAACACCGAATATATTTTTGAAGATATCCGTCTTCTGGGTTTTTTAACTGTCGGAACTACGCGATGTCTTCCACACACGACATTCGTGGACGCTATGGACGGAAATAATACTCGTATATTTACTGAGTAGACGAACTTAGTAGCGTCTTTATTGGAAAATGGAATTTTTCGTTCTTATTGGTAAAGCATAACGTGTCTCACAGTTGGTAACTTGTAGTAGCCTAATTCAGTTGTTTATCGAACGTATTTATACTAAATTAAACCAAGAATTGTCCCTAAAGAATAAGACATAAGTGAAAATATTATTACTAGTACATTTTCTGTATCGCTCGTTTTGCTGAAGAGAACTTGAAGTTGATAGAAACTTTTAAATTCTTTGCAGCCCTCGTGTGAAGACTTTTATCTTATTTTCTTATTATTTCCTCTCTTATACTTAAAATGTTTTTCTTCGTTGTGTTATGAATCAGCCCTTAATTGCTACATTTGAGTATACTAAGAAAGTTAGACAAATGCCCTTTTCACTTTTTGCCCCCCGGTATAGGATCAGCACCAAATTCCCGGCTTAAACCACTGCTCGAAACCGCACATCACACCCATATTTTCCTCTCCCTTCCCACCAGTTTTACGTGAACCTTTATATATAAAAAAACTTCTTTCCCGTCCACAGTGAGCCTGTTCATTTCTTATAATCAATTTGTTGAGCATACGTTGTACATTTTGTCAACCAAATCCCGCTTGTCCCCCAAAGCTGTCTGACGACGATTTACCGACTTCTTCACGCCCCCACCCCTCCTCATATCTTTTCCCTCGTTCTTTGCGTCTTCCAAAGCCATGTCCTTACCTCACTCAGCATTGTCCTGAGTTGCCTATGACAGTAGTACTCCGTCACCGTGGGTTACCAGTACAGGCTCTGCCAACATTTCGAAAAAACAGTTTTACCAACCGTATTCACCATAAAATCCTCAGGTATGGAGTAGCTGGAAATACGTGTTGTGTTTCCTGATGCCGGAGAAGACCTCCAGACATGGAGCGTAACTCTGAAAGTATTGAATAAATCAGTGATTATTATTTTATATTATTTAGTGTTCTGTCTGAGGACAGGTCCATATGAACAGGATCCTTCCATCCTTTTCTCGGACTGGGACCTGTTCATATACGTTCTTGGCAGATGATCCAGAAGTGGTTTGCCATTGCCTTCTTCTGTGTGTGAATGGAGTAATTGTTGGGATGCCACGAAGGAAAACTCCGTGTTGCCTAGACCAAGGCCTTGCCCAACACAAGTTAATAAATAATATGGGCAGCTAATAAGGGGTGGTCCTCCACTTGGATACTGTGACTAGGCAACAATATGGACGAACGGGGTTCGATTCCTGGCAGGTTCCTTTTAATCTTCTTGATAATATCCGCACTGGCAGAAATCCCCGCCCAGTCTCCTCTCCAATCGGGGAACCAAGGCTGGAGCATGAATCTAACCACTCATTTTCATCTGATACCAAGGTTAAGAATGTATTGAGCTGTACCTACAAAGTACATACGCGTTTCCCAAAAAGATATATACACATTATAATGTGGAATATTAATTAAACACAATGGCAATATTTCGTAATGTCTGATAGTTCGATTTATCACTAAGTCTGTATCATCGAC